TTGGATCGAGAATCCTGGAATGATACCTTTGTGGATCGCCGCCTGGCTATGGCAGACACAAGCGGAGATGCGGTCTTGCACTTTGAGGAGTTTTTGAAATGGATCTCGCGGAGGATCTCGGGAATCATCAGGCCAATGTGGCGACTTCAGATTCGCGATTCGTGGCTGCTCGCGAGAATTGTTGAATGGCGAGTATGTGCAGCAAGATAAATTCTAATGGCGCTGTCCAGCGTTCTCCAGCGCGGACAGCCACAGCAAGCCTTATTATCACGCAGATACCCAGCGTTGGCAGATATAATGGAACGCAGAGAAGTCGTCGAGCGCTCTTGTGAAGACCACCAGGGCGCCGCGCATGCTTTCGGGAGGCCAACGCTGCAGGTCTCCAGGAAAGGCCCCGCGGCGTGAGCTGCGCGCGTCCGGCTTCCAGCGCAGCAGCGCCGATTGCTCTGCTTCTATCCCCGTGAGCAAGGTGACGGGAGTGCAGAATGCCCATGCTTCAGATGGAGCTGCGACCCGCCTTGCAGAGCGTGGGTTATCTTGATTACTTGGAGTTGACTCCCGGACCTGGGAACCCACAACGCATTCTGTGATGAAGATAACCCTCTTGATCTCAAGCAGGGCGTGGTAGCAGATTGTTTGTTGCTCGGCTCCTTTTCATCCTTGTGCCAGCCCTACTTGCGAGATTGCGTCTTCAAGACTGAGGGCGTTGCTCCCTGCCCTGCTGGCCTCTACGAGGTTCGCTTTTTCGACTTAAAGGGTTGGGCTACCCAAGATCGAGGACTTGATCCCGTGTTGTCAACGACAGAGAGATCTTCTGTTCCAGTGGCTCGACGTCGGCCCTCCTTGGAGAAGCCCTTCGCAAAGGCTTCTGGGTTCTGGACTGCTGTCGGGAAGTTGCGCAGAGGACGCCGAGAAGAAACCGGGGCTGGATCACCGCCATGGAACATGGCTGGCAGCGTGTGGGCTAGCTTGCTGCAAGTGGGGAGCTGCTGCAAGAAACCAAAAGGTCCGCTTTCAGAAGTTCTAGAGCTAGAGAAGGCCAGCGGTCGGATGCTGGCGATCCAGAGCTGAAGCTTCGCGTTTGGAGCGTGAGGATGGTGTCCTTTTCCGGACGGAACTTCGTGGCCCACGGAAGTCAATTTTCGGTGGATATGCCCACAGAGGACTGCCGCGACACACAGTCATTGCGATGATGGAAGGTTCGGGACTTTGAGAACTTTGCGTGTTTTTCTTGCAAGCCTCAAACGGTCGTGGAGGAGTTGGTCGGTTAAAAGCAAGGTTCAGCTTCTTTTGCTTGGAGGTTCGGGTAGGCAATTTGGCCCCATGCTACGATGAGTATAGTAGAGTTGTCCGTAAGCACATATGGATATGAGTGTTTATAGAACTTTGGGGCGCCTTGCGATTCATATATTGGGTGCCCGCATGCCCGTCGAGCCCTTGTGCGTGTGGCGAGTGAGGTGCGCAGCCAGTGGCTCGGCGCGCAGGCGCCGCGCCCGGGAGGCCAAAGTCTGGGCCGAGACCTCAATCGCTAAAAGCGCACAAGGTGCACAAATCATAAGGGGAGGGCGGGGCATCGCCTTCTGAAAAACAGATGAGGGTTGGGTTGGTATAGCTGGCCCTTCTTGGTTCATAGGCCAATCTGAGATCTTGAAGGGGAATGGCTGTCGGTTTTGGTCCAGCGAGGACTGATGCGCCCGGGTCACAAGCACCAGGTCGGCGCAAGTGAATTGTGAATTTGCGCAATGCCTGGAGTCAGGACGGAGAATACCTGCCATCCTTGCCCTGGGCATTGCGGGATTTTCGCTTGTGAGGCCGGGGGTTGCAACCACTTTGCAGGCTTCACTTGCTTTCCATTTTCAGATCGTCCAGAAGAACTAGAACACAATCTCGAGCAGCCGAAAAGGCAGGGTCTTTGTTTGCATGGTGCCAGCCATCATACAAGTATGTTCTATCTACTTGTAAAGGTGAACATGTGCGACCGTGGCTCACATGCTGCATGCGTCAGGATGCTGAGGAGAAGTCAATGGAGCCGTCTACGATGCTAGGATTGAGAAAGGGAATGCGGGTGTTTTCAAAGATGTCAAATGGCGGCCTCTTTGAGAGGAATGAGCTACCGACCGCGTCCAACTGGCTTGGATCTTCCACTCTAGACAAACAAAAATGCCGGTAAAGAGAAGTGGGAGCCAACAGCAGGCGACTAGTTGGATTCGAAGGGCCGTCGCTTTTGTACTGCAACGGCACTTGTAGAAGCAAGCAGTGCCAAGCAGAGTCCAACAGTGTGAGCCAAGGAAATCCATCGAGACGATGATGAAATTTTCCAATCAGTATGCCAAGGCAGCTTCGCACTTTGCACGCGGGATGCACACGAGGGGCAGTTGACTCCACTGGAAGTTGTGTGAGGTGACGAAGACTAAGTACTGCACTGACAAATCAGTGCCAGCTGTTGTCATTGTGGGTCTTGCTCTTCACAAGGACTGCCTGCTCCACACGGAATCATTGAGATACCACTCTATCCAAGAATGTAGGACACCACATCTACTTGTTTGACAGATATGTCCTTTTGCAAATATGTTGGCATAGGTTTTGGGGTGAGTTCAAAAGGCTTTCAACATCACTGGACTTAGTGAAACTAGCATTGGAACAAGTCCTTTCACAGAAGTTTGGACTACATGATACGCCGAGCCATTGAGACAAGATGCTCCTGCTTCTCTTGCACTTTCCTGGCTGCCAGTTGCGCTTTTCAACATCAGGAGACCCTGGGTGCACCGCTGTGCCCCTGTCGGCACTACGAGGACAAAGAGCAAGAGGTTTGGCACGTTTCAGCGAACTGCTCCGTCTTTGCACGTTTTCCGAGGTCAAGAACGGGTACTGGAACTGTCCCTGTGTTGCGGGCCTACAGTAGGAACAAGAAGAGCGAGCCAGATACAGCATGGTTTGCGCGTTGCAAATGCATGCAGATTCTTGGCTTTCCTTTGAATCAAGGTTCCAATGCGGGAGCGGCATGAATGCCACTGTATGCTATTCTTGAAAGACAACAGTCCATTCGCGCCTGTGACCCAGCACTCGTGCTCCCGTTTTGCTCTGGGAACTTGTTGGACAGGAACACCCTGCCCAAGCAGTTGCAGGCGCTGGCGGATGTCAGTCTTATCATACTCAGGTCTGAATGTGCGCAGATCGATTTGGAGGAGATCATGAAGCTTAAGGATGGATAGCACTGACACAGTCTCACCGCAGTGCGGCACAGACGTATGATGCGCCGCATGCAGAAAACAGAATCCCAGCAGGCATGGTTGCAGAAGGACTTGGCAAGAAAAGCAAAAGCCAAAACATATGTGTATACATACACATACAACATCTCTCTCTATATATCTATGCACACGCACCCCCCATGGACCTACGTTTTGTCAGTTTCAGAGCGGACACTTCGGACTCAGGACCTGCGTTGCGTCAGACAATTTGGGTCCCTCTACGTGTCTCTACATCTAAGTCCAAGAAGTTAAAGCCCAATTCAATCTTACCAGAACTCTTCCTTTTCAATTCCATGTAATTTAGAGGACAACCTAACAGCAGTTGTGGAAACGAGTTCCTATTTTAAGCAGCTTGAAAGCCGCATTTGTTCACTGCAAAGCTCAAACAACGTGACCTTTCATTGCAGGAGATGTACGCAATGTACACTTTGGCAGCCTCAACGTGCCTGCAACAGCTCTGTCATCGTTGTTTGCTCTTATCGTTGTGCAGGAACAATCCGCAGCAAACCATCGATGTTGGGGAACCTAATCATTCGTATCTAGAGTTTCATTTGACATTGAAATCCAAATCAATTACAAGAGTGCTCCATGGCCTTGTGCAGTGCCATTCAATTTCAAATCTCTGTCGATGCATGTACGAATCCATTTGCATTCTAACTCTATTCTCTCCAAATCAAATTTGGAAAGCAATCCCATCTAAAGGATGTGCTGCTTGTCGATTTTTGAATGAACATTTGTCAACAACATCCATTCACAATCAACTCTGGGCAGCAGAGTTGACACGCGGTTTCAAAAGTTTAACTTCAAGCGATTGCATTTCCTTGTGCATGTCGAATAATTGCACAGAAACACGCATAAGCATGCTAGCTGAAGCTGAAATCAGATTCAGGTTCGAAAGGTTTTATTTTCTATCTAGTTGAGCGTGATTTTAAGCTAAGCTTAACCTTTTACGGCAGTGTGGTGGGATCAACCGCACTCTGCGAAAATGACATCCTTTACGAAGATGGGCGTAGTCCATGTGCCAATGTTGCCGAGTGTGCACGGCCCTCTGCGGAGATCATCGTGGTTGATGCGCAAAACAACTGCGCACTTGTGTTACTCGCGCGGTGCAACAACGACCCTATAAGCAGATCCACGTGCTTGACGTGCAGCAACTGAGGACTTTTGCTTTGCGGGATCGGCGCAAACAACTAGAGGGCTTTGAACCTTTTTGATCGCGCACGCGCGGGGGATTTGCATGGTCGACGTGCCGCTTTTGGCGGTGTTTGCGTTGAGAATGATCCCCCTGCATTGCAGTGAGAACGACGTGCCAGAGGGAGAGAAAGAGAGTTGCACAAAGAGCTTTCTCAGAGACTTACGCAGTGCACTTGCGTTGAGAAGGGTGCGCCGAGAGCTTGCGAAGAGAAGCTTTCAACAGCTCGCACGACAAACTTGCAAGTAGAAGCTTGCGCGGACAGTTTGTGCTGAGAAAGTTGCATTGAACACTTCCGTAGACAAACTTGAGCAGAGAAACTTCAACGGAGACCTTGCGCAGCGAAACATGCAGACCGAACTTGCGCAGAGAAGTTTGCGAGGAGATCTTGCAGAGAGCCTCCTGCAGGTACGACTCGAAAACTTGCAACGCTGGAATATCGCAGAAAGACATACATAAGCGCGCGACAAACTATTGTACCGACGCATGAGCACGCAAATGCCCAGACGCGGCGTGCGCGAGCATGTCGCGCCCCGGAAACAAGAACGCCTTTGACACGATATGCTGCGCTCACTATGTGTTAGGCTTTCGGGCCATTTGTCCTTCTAGCCTTCTAGCTTCTTTTTGCTTGATACATTTTTCTTGCTTTGCGTGTCGCTGGTCCAGGCTTTTGTACTTTTCTTTGTTTGTTTTTTTGTTTGTTTGTTTGTTTGTTTTGGCTTGTTTTGTTGCTTGTTTTGCTTTTTGACCCACATGAAGTCTCCTGAAGCCTCGGTCAGGGCTGCTTCGGAGATAGAGCGTGTGCAAACGCAAGCGCGCGCGCAAATGCGTCTATCCACATATGCGTATATGCAGAGATGCAAATTGCACTCTCCAACAGCCACCTTTGGACGATCTTTTTCGCCCTGGGCTGGTTGATTTGCAAAGTCAGCAGACAGATCCCAGCAGATAGTAGGTGGAAAGCGCCACCCTGGTTGTCCGCAGCCGCGCACAGAGAAGGCGCTTGCTGGCAGGTGGTCTGGTTATATGGAACAGCGTTGAATGCAAGCAGACTGCTTAAGAACTGATGAGCTTGACGCAAACCAGCGATGGTCCATTTTTGCTCCATCGCTGTTCCACTAGGGAATTTGCGAGCAAAAGACGCCATGGCAAGCCGGGCCAGTTGTCCTGCGTGTCCAACATCAAAAGCTTGTTCTTCCAACTCTATGTAACGCACAACGCAATATGCACAGATTTTCTCATTTGGCAAATGCAAAGGAAATAGAACAGGCACTTAATTCAGGAATGATGAACCAACAACAAATTCTAGCATACCGGTTCCATATGTAAAAAAACTGTCGAACATACTTTTTAGCATTTCGTCTATACCACTGGGACCTCTGTACAAGATTATTGCGCTGCGTTCAAGCAGTAACCACGAATCCGCCTCGCACATTCAACGCATTTTTCTGACATATTTTGCTGTTCAAGCGCAATCAGCCTTTCAAGACACAAACGGGTGTTTGGCCACGGCAAACCCAGTTGCTTGTGAGGTAACAGCTACAACCAGAAACGCTCCTTCGTAGGTCATTTCCCTTCCATCGTTTCCCCCCCTTCTATTTTATATAGGGCATTTTGTGCAAGATGCTTTAAGCCGCTTTAAAGCGTTTGAGGATGAATATGTTTCTGCAATTCTCCAATCCAGGCACTGACGCCAAAGCTGCAACAACAATATACAAGATTGGCTCCTGACAGTTGAATCCGTATTCCAGCAGCTTGAACACATCGGAACTTGGAGACTCTTAGGAATCCGGTTAGAATGATTGACTCCGGCTTCCTGAAGGACGGCAGCGCTTCAACACGTGTGCCGCAAATGCAGGGAGCAAAACATGGCAAGTGGGTGGCCTCGGAAAAGGCTCCGCGAAAAAAAGGGAGATGACTTCAGAAGTACACAATCAACATGTCTTTTGGATGAGGGTGGGTACCAGAAATGACGGTGTATGTAAGTTGGGCTTGGGAAGATGTTTTGCCATAGGCCATGCGCTCAGGTACAACAGCTTCACATACGTACGCATTCACATGCGCACGCTCATGCAATCGTTTGTTTGTCCATACAAACACATACACGTCTGTTTGCATGGGCCGTACATGACATGCTTTTGATACCCCGCATATAGTTGGTCTAATTTGGTTTGCATGACGCACGGTCCACGAAGGGCCTCTCGGCCGATTATGACCGCTACCCTGGGACTGCCCCGAGTCATTCGGCGCGTTGCAGGCGCAGATTGATGAGCAGGATTGCCTGATCATAGGTGCGCCCTTTCTTCTTTTTCCGTGGAAGTTCTTCGTAGCTCTTGCGGTGCGCACTGATACGATTTGACTCAAGGCGTGGAGTTCTTGGAGGTGGAGGTGACGAAACACGTAGGTGGACTGAGGTGCACAAAACGCATTGCCGTTTGGACATGTCCGTTTTCAGTCTAGGATGGTGAACGAAGGGGTCTACAAGCTGCTCAGCGAGGAGGCAGGCAACCCAATAAATAGCTTGGTATTCTTCAACTGTTGGCCAGGCGGCAGTGTTGACCAACCGAGACATCACGACGGCACCTTGCTTGGACATCGGGTCTCACAGTCACAGGCGACTCGTGCTTGCAGTTCATGAGGTCGAATGGATGATTCGCGACATCAAGCGACGGATCAAAGACGTTGCGTGGCAGAGAACAGAGAAGTTTGCTGGGGATGCGTGGTAAACGCCCTAGTTTGCTAGTGGATTGAAAATCGGGCCCCGGTATACACCATGCTGTCATGTGTCCCCAAACAGGACAAGCTGACGCCTCTGGTATTTGCACAGCGGATCTGCTTGCAGGTTCCTACCGGTCAATGCGTTTGCAGCCCCACGTTCTCTGTGGTGGGTGTGCGCAACATGCATTTGGAGTGCCTTGTGTTGCAAGAATGGCCGTCGGGACGCTGAAATCGGAAGCTGAGACTGACTCATAAGTCATGTGTGTGGGGAATGCAGCCGGATTGGCGGTGCTTTCCGAGGTTCTATCCAAATGGCTTGCAAGGGAGTACGCCTGGCTACTG